ACTGGGTTGTATCAGTGATGAGGATGAAACGTGATAGAGATGAAACGTGACGTAAGTAAAACATGATATAGGTGAAACATGATAGATATGAAACACTGACGTAGGTGAAACACATCAAGTGATGGGATCAGTCATACAGTTACAGGGTCAATGACGAATAGTTAGGAAAAGAAAAAGAACCCCCCCCCTCTCACGCTGTAACAGTCCCTTCTGCCAAACCAACCATCTTCACCAAACTAGATTTGCATACTGGATACAACAATGTACACATCAAAGAAGGTGATGAATGGAAAGGAGCATTCATTACTCTATGAGGATTATTTGAACCTACAGTCATGTTCTTTGGAATGACAAATTCTCTGGCCATCTTCCAAGCAATGATGGATGGAATTTTTGCAGACCTATTATTAGAAGGATGGCTAGTGATCTATATTAATGACATCCTCATCTATTCTACCAACCCAACAGAACACCAATGAAGGACCAAAGCAGTCCTACAGTATTTGAAGGAATCAGATCTTTTTCTCAAACTGGAAAAATGCTTCTTTGATGTATCAGAAGTCAAATTTCTGGGATTCATTCCTTGACCAGGACATATTGGTATGGTAGAAGACAAGGTGGCAGCAGTACTCAATTAGCCAAAGATTAACAGCATCAAAGCATTACAATAATTCTTGGGCTTTGCCAATTTCTATTGATGATTCATCCCAGGATATTCTAAAGTTGCACATCCACTGTTTGATCTTCTGGTAAAAGGTGTCAAGTGGAATTGGACAGATGATCATAATCAACTCAAGGAATGCTTCAAGAGGCAACCACTATTGGTTCAACCAGATGTTACCAAACCCTTCTGAATAGAATCTGATGCTTCCCTGAAAGCATCAGGAGGTATTCTGTCACAGAAACAGTCTGATGGACAATGGCACCCATGCACTTTCCTATCCCAGTCATTTTCCCCAATAGAACAATGGTATGAGATCTATGATTGTGAATTATTGGCTATCATCAGATGTTTCAAAGTCTGGTGACATTATATTGAAGGATGTACTGAACCAGTGGAAGTACTGATGGATCATATGAACCTCACCTATTTCAAAGACCCTCAGAAATTAAATCCACAGCAAGCACATTGGGCATTGTATTTGTCCATGTTCAATCACCAGCTTCATCATGTTCCTGGGACACATTTGGGAAAAGCTGATGCCCTCTCACATATAGATCAAGATGCATCTGAAGGGGGGGGTGAACTTCCTGTGAAAGAAGTCCTTCTTCTATCAGAAGTCTTTATTCAAGCCATTCAGAACCTTGGACCCATAAACACCAACATCAGACAATGCATCTTGACCTATAAAGCAAAGGATAACATCACTAATCATGGGCTTTGACTTGCATTACAGCATACCACACCCACAGACAAACATATTCCTCCAAACTAGAGTGTTCAGGATGACTTGTTGGTATTCAGAGGATGAGTCTATGTACCTAAAGACACCAAACTCAGATGGGATCTCATTCAGGAAGCACATGACTCTCCTACTACAGGACACCCTGGACAATAAAAGACACAGGAGATCATCCAGAGAACCTACTGGTGGCCCACCCTTGCTTGTAATGTCACAGAATACATCACTGGTTGCACAATCTGTCAGGAAAACAAGGTCATCACACACCAGAATTCACTGGATCTAGTACCTATCATATCAGAACATCATCTTCTATTCCAATCTATTGCTAGGGATTTCATCACGGATATTCCTTGAAGCGATGGTTTTGACAGCTGCCTAGTGGTAACCGACCATGACTGTGTCAAGGGACCTGATGACTGAGGATCAGGAGTTCAACTGATAACTGTTACTGGGACTTATACATGCTAGACTAACATGCTACACTGGGACTTAGACTTGTAGGCTGAGCCACTATAGCTGATAGTGGTTTGAGAACATATACTGGTTGAAGCAATGCTTCAGACTGAGGCTAGAATAGACAACTGAGTCTATTACTGAAGATCTCCCTATGAAGGTACATAGGGAGCAAGAGGACAAAACTCAAGTACAGTAGTGCAAGTAGTGCTACTTAAATAGAGCAG